GTGTGTGTGTGTGTGTGTGTGTGTGTGAGAGAGAGTGTGTGTTAGTGAGTGAGTGAGTGTGTGTGTATGAGTGTGTGAGGGTGAGTGAGTGGGTGAGTGAGTGTGTGTGTGAGTGAGTGTGTGAGTGAGTGTGTGAGTGAGTGAGTGTGTGAGTGAGTGAGTGTGTGAGTGAGTGAGTGTGTGAGTGAGTGAGTGTGTGAGTGAGTGAGTGTGTGAGTGAGTGAGTGTGTGAGTGAGTGAGTGTGTGAGTGAGTGAGTGTGTGAGTGAGTGAGTGTGTGAGTGAGTGAGTGTGTGAGTGAGTGAGTGTGTGAGTGAGTGAGTGTGTGAGTGAGTGAGTGTGTGAGTGAGTGAGTGTGTGAGTGAGTGAGTGTGTGAGTGAGTGAGTGTGTGAGTGAGTGAGTGTGTGAGTGAGTGAGTGTGTGAGTGAGTGAGTGTGTGAGTGAGTGAGTGTGTGAGTGAGTGAGTGTGTGAGTGAGTGAGTGTGTGAGTGAGTGAGTGTGTGAGTGAGTGAGTGTGTGAGTGAGTGAGTGTGTGAGTGAGTGAGTGTGTGAGTGAGTGAGTGTGTGAGTGAGTGAGTGTGTGAGTGAGTGAGTGTGTGAGTGAGTGAGTGTGTGAGTGAGTGAGTGTGTGAGTGAGTGAGTGTGTGAGTGAGTGAGTGTGTGAGTGAGTGAGTGTGTGAGTGAGTGAGTGTGTGAGTGAGTGAGTGTGTGAGTGAGTGAGTGTGTGAGTGAGTGAGTGTGTGAGTGAGTGAGTGTGTGAGTGAGTGAGTGTGTGAGTGAGTGAGTGTGTGAGTGAGTGTGTGTGAGTGAGTGTGTGTGTGAGTGAGTGACTGTGTGTGTGTGTGTGAGAGAGTGTGTAAGCAGCGAGAGATTATTCTCCATCTGAACTCCTGTAAAGAGCTGCAGCTCCACTGAGAGCACAGCCAGGAGAAAGCAAAACTAACATCCACAGATAACCAGCAACTCTTCTATTCTCAGTTTGTGTCTGTAGCCCAGTTTTTCACCTTTAAGGAAAGCATTCGGCTTCTCTCAATTCACAAAATGAATTAGATAATCAGCTGAAAGCCTGCAGCTGTGGACACATTCAGTAAGCAGCATCTAACAGATCGAGCAGAGGAAGGCCTGATGTAAGGCAGCTCTGAGTCTCAGAGTCTCTGCTCAGACAAGCCCGGCGGCAGGAATGACAACAATGACTGGAATCTGAGGGTTTTCCCAGAATGCATCATCGCCAGACTCTGGACAAACCACACCTTAGCATGAATTATTGAAACGGGGCTGTTTTCATGACGCCATGAAACACAAACCACGTCATTTACTAAATGAGTGTGCATAACACAGTTACACATAAAAACAGGTTTCGATTATCAATGCAAAAGCAAATGTGTCATGTGACTTTATTACGATACCAAAGCTGCTGTCATGAGACCAATCACTGTCTGCTTGTTTGTAAATTAGTGTCATGCCAGCTACCACAGCCACACTCATGGCAAGAAAACAAGTGAAAAATAGAAAAAATAAATAGATAAACTATATATAAACAACAAATACAATTTACAAAAGGGTTTTTAAATGTATCTTTGATTTAAAAAAAAAAAAAAAAAAGGAAAAAATCCTTATCTAAATCTGATCTCCCTTCATTTAAAAAAATCATTTTACATTTTACAAATTTACCTTTTACATTTTACCAAATCAGTTGAAAAGTAAAGAGCCCTTAAACAGTTAAAACAAATAACAGTCCATATTTACAGATATTGGACAAACTAAAACTAAAAACCATAAAAAACACACATTACTTGAAATAACGTTTTTTTTTTATTATTAAATTGTTTATTCTGTATTAGAATTTCTCATTTTCATTTACTTTAACTTGATGTACTAAAACAACTAAAAATAAGACTGAAATAAAAATGGAAAAAAGGCAAAAAAAAAAACTAAAACCTTAACTAAAATGTATATGAAAATGGAAAATAGACCTATTGGTTACTGTTGATAAAGCGCTAATTGTCGGAGATTTTAACATTCACGTTGATAATACAAATGATGAATTAGGACTTGCGTTTACTGACCTAATAAACTCTTTTGGAGTCAAGCAAAACGTCACCGGGCCCACTCATCGTTTTAATCACATGCTAGATTTAATTATATCGCATGGAATTGATCTTACTGATATAGATATCGTACCTTTTGCAACGATTTGTATTGTGAAAAGCGCTATACAAATAAACTTGGGGAAAAAAAACGAAATTATCCATTGAAAATTTTACTTAAAAAAAACTATAATAGTATCTCAGTGATACTAAAATAAATGGCATAAAGAGCAATATTCAATCATTAACAAAAACATGAGTTAGTCTGGAGTCATGACACCAATAACCAAAGTATTTAAAGTGACAGTTCACCCAAAAATTTAAATTCCGTCATCAGCAGTTTCTGGTCCCCACTGACCTCCATAGCATTTTTTCCTCATACTATGGAAGTCAATGGCTACCAGCAAGTGTTTTGTTTCCGTCATTCTTCAACAGAACAAAGAAACTCATACAGGTTTGGAACAACAAGAGGGTGAGTAAATTATGACAGAATTTTTATTTTTTGGGCGTACTGTCCCTTTAAGGTGGCGAACGGGCACAAGCCTCAAAATCAGAGCTAGATAATGAGAATGCTGCGGGAAAGAGACATGCATGCAGAAACACCACCCACACATGCTCAAGCGCTTCCTCTAACGCCCAAAAAAACGCTCTTGCAACAGCCAACCTGTACATCTGACACAGAAGAGTTCAATCGGAGTGCAAAATGTGCATGTTTGTGTAAGTGCACTGCATGGTGTGATGAAGAATCAATAGAAGGCACTGCAGTCTCAGCGCCTAATCAGGGTCCTACCCTGATCTTAATCGCCTTAAAACATACAGGCTTCAGATCACGTGACACCAGCAAACATATGACTGCAGAGTCACCACGGATCAGGTGACCAGCACTTCCTGTTAGTCAAAAAACAAAACAAAACATAGTGGCGAACTGTCCTCGACAGAAGTGAAACTTTCACAATCAAGAAAAAGGAGAAAATCATCTACTACTTCCCCTTTGAAAGGAGCTTTAAAGATGATGACAGCATGTTTTCAATAAAGTTATTAAAGTTGGGACCGTCTATGGCAATCAAAGGGACAGAGTTCATTCAAAAATTATCATTCTTGTCATCATTTACGCACTCTCAAGTTGTTCCAAACCTGTATGAATTTCTATATTCTGTTGAACACAAAAGATGATATTTTGACTAATATGGCTGAGCAAATAGCTGACGGTAGCCATTGACTTCCATAGGATGGAAAAAATATATACTGTAAGTTAATGGCTACCATCTACGGTTTGCTCAGCCATATTAATCAAAATATCATCTTTTGTGTTCAACAGAAGAGAGAAACTCGCAGGTTTGAAACAACTCGAGGGAGAGTAAAGGATGAGAATTTAAATTTTTGGGTGAACTGTCCCTTTAAATTTGTTGACAGTGCATTGAGTTCTCAATAATATATAAATTAAAGGGACAATTTGCTGTCATTTACACTCAACCTAATCTCTTTCTAAACCTGTACGAGTCTGTATGATCATTTCTGCATGAACTCTGATTTTAATAGTGCAAACAAGCGTGTTAAAAGAGGCTGATGGCAAGTTCATACAGTCAAGTGAACGCAGCACAAGCGCAGCACACTGACCAACAAAAAGCGCTGAAGCATCACAAATCAAGCACTTTTCAAATGCAAAGTGGCAAAAACATCTAAAAATATCAAACTCCTCAATTACCTACAATTCCTGCGGTTTGAATGAAAAACGCAGTATTACCCTCAAAACCGTACATTATGCCATTTGGGAAGTACAGGAACACTTCACATGCGTGTAATTACGCGCAGGGGCCAACGCCTGATTTTAAACACAGCCAAAACAGCATGTGCTATTTCTAAACCTTGAGCAAACATCTGTTTTACAAGAAGCTGCTGCATGTGTCTTTAAGTCATCTCCAGTTTAGCATTTATACAGCGCAGAACGTATAACACGAGGCCTACTATAACGCCATCCGAACACTACACCTCGGTGTTTACAGTATCATCAACGGGGTCCGTCCCGTCAATCAGAATAACTTAAATTACACAATCACCAGCTGGTGACGAGAAAGACGGAGCTACTTTGGGATCAAATTACACAGGCTTATCAAATGAAAAGAGGGCAAACAAACACTGCGCATGATGTTTTTTTTAAAAATGCATGTATTAAAAGTCTCGTTAAAACAATCAGACAGCTGTTAAAACACTAGTCTGAAATTAAACGTACAGTCGGATTAGAATTTCAATGGTACATCACATTTGTTAAAAAGAAAGTAAGAAAAGATCTGATTTCAAACAGACAGTGGTTTGTGGTTTGAGTCTGGGGGCTTCAGTACCTGTGTATTGGAGAAAAAAAGCCACAAAGATTTTCACTCGAAACAAAACAAAGACAACTGACGCTCCGTTGACAATAGGCCTTTGAAACGTCATTAACCCCCGAAACCATTAGCAAGCGTAACAGTTAAGTACGGTGTGGATTGCCATGAACCGGGACTCCTTGCAGGTTGGCACTAAACTCTTGAACAGCTTTTGGAAGGCACTCGACG